TGCGGTGAATCCTTGTAGTTTTTGTTCATAGGCGAATGTTTTCTTTCAGGTTTTTGGGGGGTTCATAGCATTAGTTCAGTTGGAAAGTCTGATACTTTGCTTTGCCAAGAAACATCAAGCAGTCAGTTTGATATTGAAAATTCATGTGGTTCCTAATTTTATCTTCTACCTTTGCTATATTCTTTGTTTTATATGCCCACTTATATTGAGTGGTTTCTTGCAATATCTTTACTCTCCAGAAGAGGAACAGATTCGCTATATTCATCAGGTGCTTTTTCTGTCACTAGGCCGCTTCTCATCGAACACTTTTCAGAATTACCCAGAACAATACCAAGATTTTCTAAAATTATCGCATTTTGTTCTGTACATAAAAACCTCGAACACAAACTGGCTTATTTACTTAATTCTTATCGGCGGATTCGGATTATCTTGTATATTTCTTTCGTTCATCATTGATCTTTTCCGATTGATGCAAGTATTAAAACTGAAACTCTCAAAATCTACCTATCAAAAACATCATGAGGCAGTTCAAAGTCTAATGGTTCAATTCATCTCATCTAGTTTATGTCTTGGTCCGCCATGCATTCTGGTGGTCATCGTATTTCTGGAAATTGATAATGGACAAACTATTTCGAACTTCTTGATTGCTTGGTTTACCAGTCACTCATCAGTTAACATGATTTCCTTATTCTGTTTCTTCCCTCCCTATCGGAAATTCTTTGTGAAGCATGCGAAAAGAAAGCAGAAACGAATCAATGCAGCTGCTTCTTCTGTATTGTTTTGAGTTTACATTTAGTATATCATCTGATAGAATGTAAGCTTCCTTTATATTAAAGATTGTCAAGCTAGCATTTTGATTGAAAATAAATTGAATTGTCTTGAATATTTGAAAAAACACATCAACTGTCTGATGTCTCATTTTTTCAACTTCTCTAGCAAACGCAGGTGAAACTATTGAAACTGATCTGTATCGACCTGAATCATCATAGATTAGCATAAAACCACATGCCTTCCTACACTCCGCTTTCGGTTTTTTTCTCATCAATTTACTGAATTCGAACGACCAGGAAACTATCAATTATAATATAATGCTAGTCATCGATTTCTCGGAACCCCGATGGCTTATAAACTACTATCATACTGTTGGACTGGCTTCACTAATTTTGAACTGTATTGGGATTTATTTATTGTTATGGGAATGCACTAAACTTGGACACTTTAGATATTACTTGCTGGGATTCCAGGTCTGCGTTAGTGCTTTCTTCACTCTACAACCTTTTCGATTTTTAGGTGACCTGTGCGATTACAGATATTCATGTCAACTTTCTCACCCAACCCATCCCTTTAACTCCATTTTTCTCAATCTATACAGTAGGAATACTCTCCGAGTTTTTCAATGTTTCGCCACACATATGTGCGGTAAACTTGTAGAGCTGGAAATCGACTCGAAAATGAGAATAGCTTCCAGGTTTTCGGAGGTTTCCTTACAATTGCCCAGTTGGAGGCTCTTGTACTTTGCTTCGCAAAAAAGCAGCAGGCAATTAGTGAAGTTTTGAAAAAGCATGTGATTCCCAATTATTTGATGATTTTTTGCTATTTTCTATGTTTCATGAGTCCAATGATTTTGAGTGGTTTTGTTCATTATCTTTACATATCACAAGAGGAGCCGGTGAACTATATTCGTAAAGTGAGTTCTAATTTAGAATTTCTAACAAAGCGCTTGAAAAACGTTAATGTTAGTTTTCAATGTTGAAACCCTCATTATAACTTTAACAGTAACTGAGACTAAATTGAACAGTATGTATGCACTAAGCGGAAGCTCAGCTCGAAAAAAACAAGGTAGTATTTCGATTTATCACAAATGGAGCAGGTAAGCAATATTCAGAAAGTATGTTTTGAATGTTCCACCTTTATGAATAGTACAACTAGTATTGCTTCTTGCTGTAGAAGACTCGCGAATTTGATATTGCTCACACAAAACTCCTACTTGATGAGAAGCACGAGTATTCAATAGTGATAAGCTTATTGCATGATAATCAGGATAACTAAAAATGAACAGTAACTGATCAGTAACTGAAGCTAGTACAAATGAGCAGCAGTCGCACAACATAGATATCAAGCAAGCACTCAGCATGCTGCAACAAAATGAAATTTAAGTGCATTATCTTCGAGTATCACTGACTATGAGAGGAACCGATGAACTATATTTATAAAGTAAGCTCTAATGTTTCCATGTTTATGAATAGCGTAACAAATTATTCAAGCTTTGTTATACAACTGAACTGTTCGATAAAAATTGGCTCGGTCAATACTAAATAGTGCTCTTCTAGTGCTGATGTGTTTCTTACGTTTCTTACTGCCGCGAACACATCGAAGCATTGTAAATCATAACGAAGGCGTTGCATAACTAGTGTTGCTTCTAGTTGAACAATTAGTAGTTAAAGATTAGCGTGTTCAAGAGTGCACATAAAGCACTTCTATTCGATTATTAACGAACTTACAGTTGTGAAAGGGTTATAATATGATTGCCAATCAGAAAAACACTAATCGAACAGTAGATTAAGCTCACATAAGCGGACAGATGTTACACAATATGTCTGTACTTTAAGTGAGCACTAAATTGAGTTCCAAAACGGGAAAACTTAGAGCGGAGACGGTGAAAAAGCTCATTGCAAAACGCATAATCAGAGAATACAAACTGAACAGTAACTGAAGCTTGTACAAGTAAGCAGAAGCTACATATCACATATGCAGTAAACGGGCTATCGACTTGAGCTCTAATATATTATTATAGTACACATCTATCATGTTTGCCTTTACAGAACTACCCTGAACTTCTCCAAAGTTTCCTCAATTTGCCTAATTTTGTTTTTTATATAAAAGGCTTGAAAACTGGACTTCTGGGCATTTCGATACTTATCGGAGGAGTAGGGTTAGGCAGCTTATTTCTATTATTCATTGTCGACATATTTCGATCAATGAAAGAGCTAAAAGTAAAACTATCGAAGCATACATATCAAAAACATCATGAAGCTATTCAAAGTTTGATCGTTCAATTCTTCTCATCTATCCTATGTTTCGGAGCTCCTAGTGTTTTCGCTATTGTTGCCGTTATGAACATGGACAACGCGCAACCTATTACTCAGCTGATAATAGCATGGTTCACTAGTCATTCATCGCTTAACATGATTTGCTTGTTCTTCTTCTTCCCTCCTTTTCGAAGGTTCTTCATGAAATATGCAAAGAGGTGAGAAGAAAAACTCTATTCAGACCAATTGACAGATTTCAGAGAAACGAAAATTGTCAATGTTATTCCATCATCTGTAGTATTCTGATATAAAAATCAGTTGAGAACAAATAAATTATCGAACAAGCAAAACCGAAAAATAAATAAATAAAGTGGAAAGATCTGGTTAAACAAAAAATCCAATTTTTAACGAAAAAAAAAACACTAAATTTATGACGATTCCATAGGAGTTTCTCCATCATCATCTTGTCTCTCGTCTCTCGTTTTCTCCTTGTTTAGTCTCCAAATCTGAATGTAAGACTCCGCGAGAACAATCATCTGAGGGAGCATATCCTTGACATGAAGGTCTTCCAATTCGAACCATTTTCCGGATCCCTGAAAATAATAAAATGAATCGGAATGTTACAGTTAATAAGAATATGAATTCATCACATGTTTCCATCCTAACGCTAATCGAGCATGGTCTAAATTGTAAAATACTTCCTCTTCTCCAAAGGAACCACTGAAACAGTTTCCCATAGGAGGGGGGTCGTCTTTCTCAAAATCCGCTGTGTTTTTCATCTCTCTAGCAACCATAAATCTGCCATGCGCAGTATTCAGACTGTACACACGGGTGGCCGAGTTGGTGGAAGGCATGGGTGTAGACCCATCGGGCTAGACCCTAAGCAGGTTCGAATCCTGTCCCGTAGTGGAATATGTTTTGCGTTTTTTGCATTTTGTCTTAAGGGTTTTCGATGTCGAGGAACTCATTTTTGATGAGAAAAATGTAATTTTATGAATGGAAAAGAAGGATTTTGATAAGGAGAAAACAAACGGATCTCTAGAACTGTTTGACTACCAGTCTTGTCCCGTAGTGGAATACGTTTTGCGTTTTTTTCATTCTGTTTGATAGGTTTTCGATGTCGAGAAACTCATTTAAGATGAGAAAAACAACGTTTTTTGAAAGAGAAAACTGATTTTTGCGAAGCGCATCACTAGATTCAAAATTGCTTCGTTAATTCACCTGATGAACGATTTGAATTCGATAATTTCCCTCTTCGAAAGTTCCTTCGTGAACTACATTTGCCACGAGATCATAGGTGGTGTACGTGTGTTCAGCACGAACATCCGGTGCCAGGCACTCATACAAATCCACGTTGGCAATCGGGAAGTTGACAATTGTCGGGTTTTTCTCAACAAACCACTGATTCTTCTGGAATCGTTTGTAGGAAATAATAAGGAATTCGGGAAGTTTGAGAAGCTCATATCTCTTCATAATATTGTCGTTGTAGGTACGGTATTCCTTCTCCGTTCTTCCATCAAACTTCTCCAACAATGTGCTGAGTGGAACCTGTGGAATGATATTCTGAAGTTGTACATCTCTGTATAAAGGAGCTGCTGGAAGATCTAAAGTGAGGAAGTTGAACGGAGTTTCTTTGATAGTTGGCTGGTATTCCGGCATTCGTTCCTTGATGTATCTGTCTTCTTCGGTGTCTTCAGCGGGGATCACTTTCCGGGAGTACTCACGCATTCGGCCTCGGAATGTCCTAAAAATAAATGAAATAAAAGATGGATCGAATGCTAAAGGAGTCTGATCGAATTCGCCTTGTTGGCTGCTTTCAGACAAACTTTGTTCTAATTTTCTTCGTTTTTTCTACCCTACCAAAGAACGGTTTTAGTCAGAAGTGAAATGATATTTTTCTCAACAAGTTTATACTTGATGATTTTAATGACCGGAAATGTCGATGAGGTTACAATACGAAGCTTAACTTATATCATTGTGTGAAAATCTAGGTATGCTGCAAAAATTGAGTTCAGTTCCGTTTTTAGTTTTGAATCAGCTTCCGAATGATATAAGATTTATATTCGGGCCACACAGACATGTCTTGTCAGTCCCTAGTCAGAAAAACTATCATTGACGTCTCATTTGCTGCCTTCTATTCTCAATTATCCACGCTTTAATTTTCCTTACTTTGAAATGATCGTTTGTCGATCTTCCTTCCCATTCAATGCTCGATGCAGCGTGTCCAAAAGGAACGCCAGGAACTCATGTGCATCGTTCTGCTTGATGAATTGGAACCTCTTCTTTGAGCAAACAACCACTGCTTGAAGCATTTCATGAGGCGAAACGTGAGTTCGAAGAGCTCTCGGATTCCATAATTTACGAATGAGCTCTCCGAATCTCTGCGGAAGAAGTGTGAGCTTGTCACCGGGTGGCCGTTTGATCGCTAAGTAATTCTTCTCGTTGAGGAACCAGTTACGGAGCGGGCGGACTGCAGATAGGGCCTGGAATAGGAAGGATCAATTAAGAAATAGGAGATCGTAGAAAACTTACATGAAGAATAACGTTACAGTAGTCGTTAGCCTTGATGTTGTTGAGTCCAACGACACCAGGAAAGTAGGTGGAGTCATCGTAAGCACGCACCATTCTAGCCTAAAAATTAGCTAAAGCCAAAAGTAATACTCAAAATTATCTACCTGCTGATCAATAGCCGCAATCATTTCTTTCGTGTATGTTGGCTTCAAAACATACTTGATGTCCTCCAATGATGGATCCACCACTTCATAATTGTCCGGTAGGCAATAGAATTTGAGAGTTTGAAGATTCAAGAAAACGTGATGATCGGTTTCAAGAGCATGAGTGTATGCATGTGTATTCGTTCCTCTGCCTTGAAAGTACTTTCCGCAAACCATACAAGCGTACACGTTTTGATGGGATAACGATACGGAACACTGCTTCTCGAAGTCGAAATCGAGGACGGATCTGAAAGAATGAAGCTGTTTTTTATGAAGATTTTTCGTCTATTTGTTGAAGAGCTATGTTTTCAATTGAGCTTACCTATCAATAGTGTCCAAATACGGGCATGTTCGACTCTTCTTCTCCGCTTGCGCTTTCTTCATCGACCAAACTGGCTCATCGCAATCCTCATCGAGTCTACCACTCTGAAAAAAAAAACTGATTTAGAAAAAAAGTCACTTTTTCAAAAATATAATATTTTGTTGTCTTGATAAATGTCTATTCACTCTGAAATTTCTGACCCCACTATGTTTGAGCACTTTACTATATCTTGAAGAGAAACGAACTGCAACTGTTGCGCGAACTTTCGTTCTAGCGCTTCGTTTTTCAATTCACTTCCACATAAGAATGTTTCTTATAGGTTGTACAGATCTCTGACTACAGTTTTAGTTATTCTAATTATTATTTTTTTTTCTTTTGGATTTTTTCTGAAACTTGTAGAAATATTCAGTTTTCACCTTCAACTCCTCCTCAATAACTCTTTGTCTTTCTAATTCTCTTGCAGTCAATTCACGTGGCTTCTCAACAACTGGGGGAGTTGTATCACGAATCTCTCCGTCTTCTTCGTCTTGATCCGCTTTGTCTTCTTTTCGATCACGTTTGGATCGTTTTGGAGATCTAAATCATTATACTTTGAAATTTAGATTTTTCTGATAGTTTACTCACCGTGAACGAGTTCTAGACCTGCTTCGATCCTTTCTTTTCCTATCTCTTTCATGATGTCGTTGAGAGTCACCGCTTCTTCCGTTCTTTTTATCATCTCCTGCAACAAATATGAAATTATCAAATTCTTGAATTATTTGATAAAATATACACTCACTTGGACGTCTTCTATCTTTTTCATCGCTCTCGGTTCTTCTTGAAGAAGTCTTCTCTGCCTTTTCAGGCTCCTCCTGGGTCGAACGTCTCCTCTCTAACTTCTCCTCTGGCTCCGGTGACTTTCTCTCGTGGCTTGGTGACTCGTTCGACATTTGGTTAGCTTCCTATAATAATTGAGTACGCTGTGAATTCGTTTTATCAAAAAATAAACGGAAAAAATAATGTAAACGGCTGAAAATCTGAATTTTTCAATTCGAAAATGCCTTTTCATTTTTCAATTTTTCCTCAAAGTCCGCAAACACCATCACGTCAACGTGTATCTCGAAATGTGTGTAGTCCTCTCGCACGCTGATTTTTCGACTACAACTTTGTCGCGGCGTCGGCCATCGTTTTTCTCTTCCACCAGCCCAAACTCCGTTGATTTTTTTTGTTCATCGACTTTGACAAGGATTTGTGGGAGTTAAAATTCATAGATTTTAAAAAGATTTCATGCGTTTTTAGTAAATACCATCTAGAAGCTCTGGTAAAAAATTCAGACACTAAATCATTGTCCGAAGGACACTATCCTCTGATGAAGAT